TGAGGCCTGGGTTCAATAGGACTATCTCAAGCAGAGCTGCTCCTGACCTCCAGACAGGACCAGTGGCAGCTGATTCATCTAAACAGCTAGATAAAGAAGACAACTGTCAAAGTAATGCATGCATACCATAAATATCTTTCCTCGTCTTCAAATATCTGAACATTCGTCTACCAGCCTTGATTTGGGGCCCCAGTCTTACTCTTGGTTATGAGTCTGCTTGGTTGTTAGGTTGTATTTGTGCACAAACTTCGTAAGAGTTGTATCATTTGTGATTTCCAGGGTCAGTTCCTTGAAAGCAGAGTGTGCCATAGGAAGTGTTCAGAGTACACAGCACTCCTAGGCACTTACAAGGTTTGATTCTCCTCATTCACAGCACTGCTTTGCTGGTACCTAATTTGGCTGCACTTTCTGCTTAGCTACTCTGTGTGTTGAGTCGGGGGGGGGGCTGGGTGTGGAACTCAAAGCTTTGTATATGCTAGACAAGCATTTTATCACTGCGTTATATACCCAGCCCTTGAATTTTTAAAAAATATTTTATTTGTTACTTTTATTTTATGTATATGAGTGTATTGCCTGCATGTGTGTAAAAGTGCACCTATGTCGTACAATGCCTATGGAGGTCAGAAGAGGGCATCAGATCTCCTGGTACTGGAGTTACTTACAGATGGTTGTTAGCTGCCAGGTGGGTGTTGGGAATCGAACCTGGGCCCTCTACAAGAGTGACCAGTGCTCTTAACTGCTGAATCATCTTTCTAGTCCCCAACCCTTGAACTTTTGGGATGGGACCTCACTATGTAGCCCACACTGGGCTTGAAATCTTGGTTCTCCTGCCTCAGTTTGCAGAGTGCTGGGATTCTAGGCATGCACCACCACACCCAGCTAGCTTCTCTCTCTTGTTAAATTTCTCCAAAGCATTCAAGTTAATTTTCACATAACAAGCAGCTCTTCCTGTCTTCATCCAAAAATCACTGTGCTGTGACATTAGTAGCTACAACCTGCCTTCACCTGTGTAGGAAGTGTCCTACAGCCCTGGTTGCCATGGAACTTACCTGGGGTGGGTGGCAGTGAGTGACAGGCTCTGTGAGTGCCACTCCAGACCTGGACTACAGAGGGAAGGCACCAACTCTGCTAGTGGGTTGGCCAGAAACCCCTGCTGTTTGTGTAAGTCTGAAGAAGAGTAGAGGAAGAGAGCCTTAACCCTAGTTTCTTATTCTTTCTGGGCCATCCTAAATGTGTGCGTACTCCCTTCTGGAGCCAGAATGCTGAAGGAAAGCTGGGCAAGTGTCCTTTGTTCCTTAGGAACATGGAAGATAATGCTGGTCAGGAGCCAGGCCATGGGCATAAGTGAACAGGCCCATCTTCAGCCCAGAGAGGATAATGCTTATAAGGCCAGGGTGTTCAGGAAATGCCACCCTAAAGTCACCAGACCCTTGCTGACCAACCCTGCCCTTCATTCACCCTATACCCCACAGCAGATAGAGACATGGAGGCAGGAGACCTAGTAATTATGGCATGGGCCTTCATTTGAGCCTTACGACACTGCTGAGTGGGTCTGCGACAGAAGATGTCATTTCATGGTATGATCCCAGGAAAAAGGCACCTGGGACTCAGAAGTCAATAATGTACCAAAAGTCACAGGGGTCTCAGTAGTCAGGCAGCGTCTGGAACCAGGCTTCTGACTGATGGTCTGACACCCATTAACCTCTTCATGGTCTCCACATCACAGAAGCTTGGCTGTGAAAACCAGAGGAGCCAAAATTTAGGGTCTATATGTCGTAGGCCTTGGGAGGTTACCTAGGGCCAGGTAGCTGCAGTTCTCAGTCCCCCACTTGCTTCCAGGTATGGCTGTGGGAGAGCAAAGAGCCATCTCTCCCAGAGCAGACCGGACACTGGGTCATACACTCCTGTTGTATGAATGACAACCCTAGAAGCAAGCGATGCTCACTTTTGGTGTGTGAGGACCTCAGCCAAGTGCCACATGCAGGTATGCTGGTGTCTCCATGGTTCAGACAGCCTAGGGGAGAACAGGACCACCTGAGACAGAACAGGTGACTCAGAGCTCATTTTCTCCCCTCCATGGGAGATGCAGAATCATGATTTACAGTTGGCCACAAATGTGTAAGCATGAGGCCTCAGAGCATGGAGCTTGGAACGTGGGGAGGATGTGGGCCGACTGACAGGCTTTCCAGTCATAGACATTCTGCCTGGTCCTGAAGGTGGCCTGGAAGGTAGCCTGGTGAGGAGGCAGTGAGTTGCCAGGAAGAGGACAGAAAGACTGTTTGGTATGAAAGGTGAAGGATGGTTGAACAGGCTTCTTCAGAACAGGGAGTGTTTGATACCAGTCAGAAGGGAGCTGGAAACTGATGGGGATTCCGTATGCAGAAGTCTCACTGGTAAAGGAGTTTCTAATAGCCTGACCCCATCTGGATTGGATTAAAAATAGCTCCTCTGGCAAGATGGAGACTGCATTCCGAAGGCAAGAAGTCTAGGCAGCTTGTTCCTTAGCTGCTATGCAGGGGGAGAAGAGCTGGGGTGCCATAGCTAAAAGGTGTCTGTCCATCATCCACTCAGCTGATGTCCACTGAGCACATGCTCTGGGAAAACACAGGGGGCGGGGGGGGGGATAAAACACAGGCAGCCTGACAGGAAAATAATCATGTGTGTTTCCCACAGTTCAAAAGGGGGAGTTGGTTATCCAGGTGTGGGAGGGGAAGAAACACATGGAGGTGCTGAGTTTATACAAAGGAACAACTTCAGGATGCAACTACCACCTTAATGCTAAGGGAACAGTAGGAATGGAAGGAGGCAGGCTCACAGCACCTGCCTTCTTGCTGCTGTCTGTTACTCTCTCTAGCTCCCCTTATTGGTAGAGCCTAATAAGGAGCCAGCTAGCCAGGGAACCTGGGAAATGTAGTCTGCCTACTTCCAGCCTGAGAGTCTCAGAGCAGAAGACAGAGCTGGTGAGCCTGGGCTGTAAGGCACACTCTGTTCTCATTGAACACACGTTGGTGGTCGAGAGGATAGGAGTCAAGTGGGACTGGCAGGCTTCTTGCTGGGGAGGATAAAGAGCCCAGGTAAAAGGCTTCATGTGAAAGGAGCCTGAGACACCAACTGTGGAGATGGGGCCAGCACGACCCTGGAAAAGCAGTGGTCCTCAGAGGGGATGCACTGCCCTTTAACATTTGCAGGCCTCTGGTGTTGGGCAGCATCTCCACATTAAGTCTGCTAATGGGTCATGTGACTTAGAGATGTGTATTGTTCCCCTACCTGATGGAATTCTGTCCTCAATGGCACAGTGTCTCGGCTTTTTATGTATGTTTCATTAGTTTTACTTGACTATATCATTGATTTTTCTAATTTCTGATGGAGATTAATTCAAAATATTCCTTATTTAATCTCAAGGACATTTGTCCTCCCCTAACCACCCACTGTCTGTGCAGAAAGCATGAGGATCAACAGCTTCTGAGGCAGAGGATGACAGCAGACAGTGGCCTGCTCACAGCAGCCCATTTCCCTCTAATTTCAGACAACTAAAAACGCATAGCTGTGCGGCAAGCCAGCTGGAAAGGCAAGGAATGCGGTGTGTGTTAGGGAGATGCGTGGGAGCCATTTTTAATCTGATGTGCCCTCATTCAGATATAGCCATGTTCACTTTGCATTGGCCCAGATCACACTGATGTTACTACATTTGACCATATTCAGAACCGTAAATTCACCCACACTAGTGCAAAAATTCTCTTATTGCCTGGCCCCTGTGTGCACCCTGTTGTCAGAAGGCACTGCCTATCATGCTGCTCCTCAGTACCAACATCTCACTGGCTCCTGAATATCCTCAGGATTAAGAACTGACTTGAAATTCTTATTGATTTGCCTTTCTGAAACATATCTTTCACTGGTCACCTGCTTTTGAGCCTGAGCACTGTCCTGGAATCCCAGCCTTTGATGTCCCACCAGTCTTCGAAGGCCCGTTCAGATGTTACCTGCTTCATGAATCCTTTGTAGACCCCCAAGTGCCCACTCTACCTCAGGGCCTGTGTTTGCTAATGAAACCATTTTTCTGAACTGTGTACAAGTGGTACTTGATGCATCTTTTTCCTCTCTTACTTCCCCGGCCATCTGTGGGAGAGCAGGGAGCCTGCACAGTGTGTTCTTTTCATGTCTATAGACTCTACATTGACAGTGATGAAGCAGTATCTCAGGGCACTTCCACAGCACAGGTGGCCTCTTGATAGGTAGGACCCCAGCACACAAGGAGACACAAGTATTGATTAGTACTTCGGACATGGAAACCCAGGCAAATAGCATTCCTTCTGTTAAAGTGTGTTTCCCTTAATTTGTTTAAATGGCATCTTAGTGCTTAGGTTTGTTCCTCAGAACATTCTGCAGCTCATGGAGTAGTTTCCTCTCCTTCAGAGCAATGTTTTCCAAAGTGTGTGGATTTTCTAGATACTACTGTCCAAAGGAGCCTATAATGAATCATAATGAAGTGTGTGAGACATGTTGGGTTAACCAGCTAAACAGTTAAGTGACTTTTGCAACATGAGTTGAGCACTTTGTAGGGCTCCAAGAAGGGACTTGCATATGGGGCAATGTGCCAAGTTTATTTCCTGATAGGTACTTGTTTAGTGTGCATGTTGAAGGTCTAGCCTTTCTTATAAAGTGCTGGTTTAAACTGCAGGTACCCTTTGGACTGAAGTGTTTGAGCAGTAGTCGCAGGAGTAAAGGTTGACAGTAAGGAACCTGGTACAGTCTTCTGGGGTGACTACTTTTCTTCTCACAAAAAAATCAAAAGCATTTTCATAGCAGCATGGGAAGCAGAGCAGAGGGAGGTTTCCAAGGTGGTGTGTGAGGAGTCATCCTTTGTACGGTGTGTGTTTAGCAGTGATGGCTTGGCAGCTTAAACTACAGGCAGTCTACCCTGATCAGTAAAGTGTGCAGTTAGTCTCCTTAGATGCCAGCCACACAGGTGTCCCAGGTAACTCTGGTTCTCTGTGTTCCAGTTCTTCCCACAGAGGTCACACTCCACCAGCGCCGCCTGCATGACTCCCCACGGCACTATTCTCCACCAGACTCTGGACTTCGACGAGTTCATTGCCCCACTTCCACCTCCGCCCTACTACCCTCCAGAGTACACCTGCACACCCTCTGCTGAAGCCCACAGGTCAGTCTTCCCCTCCATGTCCTTTGTCCCATGATGCCTGAGGAGCCAGAAGACAGTGCATCTTTTGGAGGAGGAAGTTGGAATGGCAGGGGAGAGTGGTATAGAGTAGAGGACTGAGAGCCAATTCTCTATCCCAAGGATAGAAAGCAAAGAGTGAGAAGAGACAGCCTAGAAATAGAACATTTCTTATTTTTGCTCAGCCGAGTTTTGGTGGTGGTGATGGATGTTTTGTTCTATTTCGATATTTTTGTTGTTGGTTTTGGAGACAGGGCCTCACCAAACAGCCCAGGCTGGCTTTAAATTGTCTGTGGAGCCCAACATGGCCTCCCATTGCACTCCTCCTGCCTCAGCTGTTGGACTCACGGGCAAGTACCACCAGGCCTGACTTGAAATAGAACATTTGTATTGCTGTTTCTGTAGTATCTCCCAAATGATGACTCAGGCTGACAAAGTGACTGTTATGCTCTCATACTTGCAAGACTGCTATTGAGTTTAGTCATCCATAGAACATGGAAAATTAATTAGAAATTTCATCAGCTTTGTGACTGTTTTAATTGTAATAGAGCCATAGAGTGGATGTTTTCCAGAAAAAGACGGAAGTTAAAACTATGCAGTGATCCAGGCTTTCAGTTCTCAAATGTGACAAGTATTAGACAGTCAGCGTTTTGAGAGAAATGTCAGGCTGCAGGCTCTGTCCTCTAGGGATGATGATGTGACAGACTGTCCTGTCTTTCCAGGGGTCTCCACCTGGACTTTGCTTCCTCTCCATTCAGCACTCTGTACGATGTTGCCATCAACAGTCCCAGCATGTTGTACCCTGCAGAGCTGCCCCCACCATACGAGTCCGTGGTGGGCCATACCACTGCCAGCCAGGTGAGGCCCAGGCCCCAACAGCACCAATTTCTATGTGTGGGTAGCCTTCCTGGCCTTCCCTTAGGTAGTGCCAGGCCAGGGGCAGGGTTGTCTGTGTCACTGATGCCTGTCACAGCTTTGTTCTGAGGCCGCTGCATGCATCCATACCTATTAAGGCTTTGTACAAACTGCAGGATGCAGATTTCAGCTCTGCTCTGGCCATATCAGTATTTGAACTTTCCCTTTGGTTACTCAGCTTAATTTCTGTAGCAATACTGAACAACTTAAATGGGTCTGAACTCAATGTTCCCAGTGTGTATGAAGATACAGCAAAGAAGGAATGGCGGTAGCTTCCAACCTATAAACAGGGCACCCCAGCATGAGAGAGCTGGACCATGGGCTGACTACTCAGGGGAGCCAGGCCTGTCTTGACTATTGCCACAGGCCTAGTCTGATGGAGCAGTAAGAAGGTAGTTCTATGTTCCTGCTATACTCAAGGGCTTGGTGGCCTCTACTGCTAAGTATTTTGGGCCTTCTTCCAGCTATATGTGTCAGGGGATGCCACAGCCTCACGGTTCTCAATGAATAATAGGCACTGGGAATACATTTGGAGAGCCTTTTTTTCCCATCTGAAAAACAAAGATGATATTAGGGCCTAGCTCATAAGATAAAGGGAGTGGTGCTGGTAACAGCCCAACAGGAGGCTTGGAACCTAGTAAGTGCTGAAGTCAGCAGAAGTCTGAGGCCTGCTTTGGTAACATTTTTATAATTGTTGTCATTGTCATTATTGTATATGGACGGTCCCTAGCTAGGACAGCAAGATGGGAATACTTAGAAAGGTCATAGGACTAGGGAAGTTTAAGGTGGAAGCTTTGGGGAGAGGAGTAGGGGTCGGGGCACTACAGTTAGGTAGAACAGGCAATGTGTCAAGGAGGTAGACAGCCCTGTGACCAGGAACATCTGCAGGGCATTCCAGGCACACCCTCACTGTGCCCCCTTCATGCTTCTTAGCAGCCATGGAGCAACTGAGCAAGTTCCCCTCTTGCACATCAGTGATCGGGTCAGCCCTGGATGGCCACCTGTTGTCCCTACTGACTCCTGAGCAACAGCCCTACCTGCAAGGCTTAGCCCTTCTGCTGTCACCCCAAGCTCTCATCCCACCCTTTAGATATCATGAGAGCCCATATGGGTAGAGAACAGGCAATGTGGGCCTTTCTGTCAGCCACTGCAAAGAGATAATGGCCCCTGAAGAACCTCTGTGGATGGAGTCCTTTCCTATTTATTGCATTGGCTCAGGCTCATAAGCCTCTAAGATAATCACAGCCACAAGGCTGGGTCACTTTCCCCAGCTGGGTAGTGGACCAGGAAGAGGAGGCAGGTAGCATCTGTGAATGATGGGAATATGAACAGTGCATTCAGACTTTGAATTCAGTATATCACTGGAGAAAGAAACATTTACCACAGGAATCCTCTCTCAGGGTGATTTGTAGCAGGCAGCTCAGCATTGGGCTGGCCTGGTAAGTCTGGCCTGCCCTGGCACAACCAGAAGGTCTCTGAGCAATGCCTTTGCATCCGTTCTAACCCTGAAATGCCCAAACCACTCAATGACTATAGGTGGCAGCTTCAGACTTACTCAAGACCTCTGCCTCCTTTGTATGCATGATAGTCATTACTGTGTGGGTACTGTCTAAGAGAAGTGTGCTTAGTGAGTTGGTAAAGCGAGACCCTGAAATCTCACCACTTCAACAGAGATTTTCCTAGACTTTCTAAGCTGAACAGGAGCCTTTGACTTAGTGATACCTTTTATCCTTCTGTTACAAAAAAAACAGCAAGAGGTTGGTTTTAATGACTGGCTTCAGCACTCAGAGGTTTCCAGCCTACATTAGAGTCTAGGTAGGATCTGAGGGCTCATACTTGCTGGGTTATGAGGAGGTACCCAAGCAACAGGCTGTGGAATTTAGACTCCAATGGGCATCCCAGTCCCACAAAACCTTGTCAGTTAAATCCCAATGTTAGATCTACCCCCAGGGTTTCCAAGTCTGTAGTTGGTTGGGGAAGGAGGGTAAATGAGGAATGTGCATCCTAACAGGTTCCACACCCTGATGATTCTGGGTCCAACTTTGAGAAATGGCGATCATGGGCACAAGGTATTTGGCAAAGAGGAAAGAAAGTGGGTGGTTGTTAGAAGGAGAGTATGGGGTGTGCAGATAGGGTGTTGGGGGCATCACTAAACCTAAACCCACATGGCAGAAACCTGGGGAGGGTGCATTAGGGCCAGGGCAGAACCCTAGATGGAGAGCAGTCCCCAAGAAGGTAGGGGGGTGCTGATGGCTGTATGCAGGTAGGCAACTCAGGGGCAATAGGAACCTGAAGCCACGTCTGCATTTGTGTTGATTTCCATGTCACTTTGGTGGGGGGGTAGGGTGGGGGTGGCTACCATTATAGAATTCTAGCTTCCTTTTGTGAGCTGATACTCCTGTTTCCAGAAAAGAGGACTGAGTAGATAGATTCATGATCCCATGGAGAGTGGCAGGATTGGGGCACTGCCCTTCTAAAAGCCTTAGCTTCCCAAAAAGAACCTCTTTCCAGCGGACTTACCCTGGCCTTATGTAGACAATCAGTAGCTCCTGGCTTTGAGTGTGACCTGAAGTGCCCCCACCCCATGCCATACACTATAATATTGATTCTTGTTTTATCACCAATTCACTCTGTCCCTAAAGAATAAAATATAACAAGATAATATATGGTTTGAGATCAATATGGCACTGTTCTCCCAAGCCACTGGGAATTTTCCTACTATGATTTCTCTCTTAGAACTTTACTAAGAAGGACTGAAGGTCAAAGCTGTGTTCTGTCAGCTTGTATTAGCTCAGAAACATGTGGCCTGAAGGTGCTTACACAAACCTGATGTGCTCAGGAGCAGCCCAGGGGGTTATGTAACATGCTGTGTGGCCCCTCCCTGGGCTACCTGAGGAGCAGGGGTGCATTTGATAATTAAGGACGTGCAGTCCCCCAGGCCAGTTCTCTTTGACTCCCTGGTCTCAAAATACTTTTCAATTCTACAGACATCTCTATGAGTCCAGAAGTGAGCGAAACCCATTACCATCCACAGAGGGAAGGCTTGCCAGCCAGCTGCCTCCTCCTCTAGGGTGGTCGATCTTCCCTGACCAGACAGCAAGGAGCTACCCCTTCACAGCATGCACATTCTCCCTGGATGAGAGGAGGTTAATTACCTGCCCTTGCAGGACAAATGGTATATAAATTGCCTATCAGCACTGGTTAAGGTAAAGTGAGCGAGACAGAATGACATGAGCGAATCAGCACCACAGCAGGTAGGTAGGAGATGGGGGTCATTGGGAAGGTGTTTTTTTGTTTGTTTGGTTTTTTTTCCCTGACATAACATCTTTCTATGTTGTCCAGGCTGACCCTGAACTCCTAAGCTCACAGAATCTTTCCTCCTCAGCCTCCCAAATAACTGGGTCCCCAAGTTCACACCTGGGAGGATATTTTTTAACCCTTGACTTAGGAGTTCATTTAGATCTACTCCCTCCAATGGATGAGTCACGTGTACTCTCTTCTGGCCTAGGTGACCATGTTGTTCTTTCTCACAGCTTCAGTCTGTATCCACAGCAAGGTCAGAGATATGAAATTCTATCCAGAGCAGCAAAGTTATTGAGACTGCGTCAGTTTGATATTCCTGATTAGACAACAAGCTTATGTTCCAGGGACCACATACCACTGTGGTCTATATCCATAGGATATAAAACCATGAATCAAACAGAATTCCCTGCCTTGTGGGACTGACAGTCCGTAACTGGGACAGGGACAGGCATAGGGACAGGGACATAAAACCTTCTTTGGGACTTCAGAAGAAGAAGTGCACCTGGTTGTCTGGGTAGAGCTAAGGCACATGGGAACTAAGGAAGGTCATCCTCATGGAGGGCAAGGCTCACAGAGGCAGAGACAGGATGGGCAGAGTCTGGTGTGGAACTTCAGGTACATGAGGTCATGAGAAAATAGCCTCGGTAAGACTGCATGGCCTTGTGTGTCTAACTATAGAAGTGCCTTTGATGAATTCAGTGTCTAGATTGACAAAACCCAGAAGTGCTTTAGGAATTTTGACTGGGAAGCAGCATGGCTAGAAGAAGGGGCACTTGCTGTGGGACTAGAAGTCACGAAGAAGGAGGTGGGCAGACACTGGGACAGCAGCTCCAGCACTATGAATTATATGTTCAAAGGAAATGACCTCTACATTTTAAAACTATCTTGAGCCTATAACCTTCCTTCTCCATGACAGCTGATCATTGCTTCCAAGTTGCTTTTCATAAACCTGGTGCTAAATGGTTGACCTCCAGGAGTGACAAACATGTCACAGAAATGCAGCAGAATTTCCATACAGGATTTGCCCCAGAGCTGATTTACCTAAATTCCAATTGATCTTTCAGTTATGATACCTGGTCAGAGTAGCATCTTGAAGAACTAGGAAGTCCCAGGTCTCAGAGTGTCCCTGGCTGGGGTAAACATGTAGCTTCTCCTCTCATGGTCCTCTAGCCCCTCCTTCTGCAAGGAGATGTGTTTATGAGCCTTTAAGATGAACTCAGATTTCAACTTAAAAACCATGCCATAGACCCCCTTCCTCTTTTTCTGCCTTTAGAGTAAGTTCATTGCCAATGCTGTGTGAATGGAATGGCTACTTTCCCTGCAGCTTTGTATGGCAAGGTGACTTCTGACATCAGGGACAACCACATTCAAATTAAGCCCCTAACACTGCCTGGAGAGGTGATGGATACGCGCTGTCTCCTTTCCAAACCACATTTCCTGATGTTGGTGTACAAGGAGGCAGAGAATATAAAGCAAATCCAATTTCCTCTGACCTCGTCCCTGTGCGTATTTGGTTTCTCTTGTTTTATTTATATTTCTATATTACCAGACCTTTCTTTTTCTGGTGGTGGGTTTCTAAGTTTCCTCTCTTCTCTCCTCCTTCTCTCTCTCTTTCATACACACACATGCATACACACACACACACAAACACACACACACACACACACACACACACGAGAAGAGGGAGAAAGACAGAGTGAGAGAGATGATTAGCAATGGGAAGAGAGTTATAAAATGCAATGACCCTTTAGGCAGCTATTCCTTTTGTGTTATTTAGTGGAGGAATCTTGACAGTCATTTCCAAAATTGGTTATGGTCACATAGTGAATACAGTGGGAGAAAAGATGTGTACAGGTACTGATGGTGGTGTGCATTCTCCCTCCCCTAGTGCCCTCCACAGCAGGACCAAAGGGCTTAGGTACAAGAATATTGTGTGCAGTGTTGCTCTAAAGCATGTCAGTGGGATGAAAGGCAGCATGGGGGTGGGTTGTGGGGGGCGTTCTCCCTAGTCCTACCTCCCCAGCCCTTCTCACCACTACCCACCTCCCACAGGGAGCAGCTTATACCCTTTGTGTTGGTGCCACAGCTGGAGCCACCTTCCCTAGCTCCAGCCCAGTTTGCAGAGGAGAGATGAGGAATGTCAGCTATCTGATTGAAGTGGAGGGAAAGCAGGAGGCAGAAATGTAATTACCTTAGCTAGAATCGGACCAAGCCACAGGGGCCTGCCTCACCTTCCCCAGGCTCCTCTAGAGCTCATTATTTGCCAGTAGGTCCCCAAAGCAATTCTAAACCAACTTAAGGAGTCAGAAATTGTTTCCTGATCTGGTGTAGGGGTATGTGGGAGTGCTATTGTTGTGATGTATGGATAGGACACATTGTGTTTCAAGCCCAGGGCCTGTGCCAGATGCCCTGAAGCACGGTAGAAAAACTGTGTCTATTGGGGTAGAAACTGTACCACATGGAGCATGGGCAGGGTGAGGATGGGGTCAAGAAGCTAGGAAGCCCATTCTTTTCTGTCCTGTTCCCTGAGATCTCTCTAGGTAAGAGTCACTCCAAGAGAAGAGTATCAAAAGCTCCATGACCTGAACTGAAGGACAGCTCTGTAGCCCTGCATTCCAACAAGACAGGGTAGTACAAACAACAGTGTGCCATCTCTTTTGCACTGGGGGTTGGCACTCAGACTGGCAGCCCACCCTGTGTGCACCTGGACCCTGATCTGGATCTCAGATGGGAGGGCAGCCTAGGCGCCTCTGCTCCATCCCTTCTGTAAATGACTGAAGGAAGAAAGAGCATAAGCAAGCTAAGGAGAGCCTCGGAGCTCACTTGGGCAGTGGCCATTTATCCAGTGCCTGTTACATGTCCTAGCCATGCTGGTGTGAAGCACTTCAGGTCTCATGTCCATTTGTCCCGTGGCTTTATTGTTCTTGGAGCCAGAAGGAAGAAAGTGAGTGAAAAAAGGGATTGGAAGTGATGGCAGGGGCTGCCCTGGGTCCCACTGTGGAGGATCCTCTGTGGCCTCTGTTGGCTCTAGATAGTACCCACTCGTGGAAGGTGAGTAGGCTTAGGATGTGCCAGGCCTTGGAAGGTGCTCTGAGTACAGAAAAATGGGCTTGGGCCTTGGCAATCATGACCTCAACTCTTATAGCCTCCACCTCATAAATTTAGGGGAGAAAAGTAGAAGTGTATGTTTATGTCTCTAATCCTTGCTAGATGAGCCTAAAGCCAGCCTGCATGGTCATCCCTCAGTTTCCTCGGGGTATTAGTTTCAGGACATGCCCACCCCCCCCCAATACCAAAATCTGTGGATGCCCAGTTCCCTTACTTAAAATCAAGTGCTGTTAGTACAGAACCTACACACAGTCTGTCCTGTACTGTAAATTGTCTCTAGATGACTTATGACACCTAATAGAACACACCTGCATGGATTCAGCATAGTACTTGATGTATGGAGATTCAAGGTTTTCCCTTTGTAACTTTCTGAATATTTTTGCCCTGATTGTTTTCAATCACTATTAGTTAAAGCAAGGGACTACGAGGGCACAGAGGGCTGAGTGTGTTACTGGAGGCTGCTGGGGTGCTTTCCTGAGCAAGGATGATGTTTCATGTTTCTTGCTATAGGTTCCAAGTGTCAATCACCAGGTGGCTGAGTCCAGTTCCGGGGACCCAAATACTGCTGCTGGTTTCAGCACACCAGGTAACTGTACCTCTCTTAGAGTTTGAAGCACTGTTTGTATAATGTTTTACAAAGGTGTCTCTTCCCTTCTGCCCCTTCCTTTCTTCTCCTCTTCCTACTCCTTTCTCTCCATCTCTGACTGAAGCAGGGGAGGCTTTTCCACAGTTTTCCCTTTTAAGTCCATATAAATTTTCCCCATTCTTGCATCCAGTAAGTCAGTGTTTCTGGGAGAGCTCACACTTTCTCTGAGGAGGGTTTTGTTCCCCTCTTCCTTCAGTGTCCTTTCTCCCTCACTTGAGGACATGGATTTGAGGAAAAGCACTACTCGACTTGAGGTCTACCCTTTCAGGAAAAAAAAAGGAATATATAGACAGTTGCTGGCTCTCAGTGGTTTGACTTAGGCTTTTCGGACTTTATAATGGTGGAAAAGCAATATGATATTCAGCTTGAATTTTAAATTTTGATATTTTCAATAAATTGCATGTATTATCAATACATTATTAAGAAAGAAACTTTGTATTAGACCATTATGTTCAACTGTAGGCTGTTGGGAATGTTCTTAGCATGTTCAAGGCAAGTGATGTTGCGCTGTGATGTTCAGTAGATTTAATAAATATGTTTTTCACTCACTACATGATGATGTAACTACATTATTAAATCATGAGCATCTGTTCCAGGCTCCTATGTACTAGACTTCTCTCTCAGAAGGAAGTAAGCTAGACAAGGCAGCTTCCAAGGGTGAGGCTGGGCTGAAGGCAAGCTGAAAGTCATGAACTTGACAGCTCTGAAAGGAAAATGTGAAAGGCCAGATTCCTAAACATACTGGAAACTCTATGGTACTGAGCCAGGGTGAGGGAAGTGGTCTGAGGCATCAGGGAAACCAATCAGAGTCACTAGCAGAAAGAAGAAGAGGACCAGGATTGGAGCTTTCCAGAGAACCCCCTTTTGGAGAACCCCATCTAGGCTCATGGGGACAGATTTGAAGAGTAAAGTCAGATAACTCATGGCAACCCGTGAAGGTCCATTATTATAGTCCCATGTCTCTCTGTCCTTGCCCCTAACACAGAATTAACATCTAAGAGAAGCAGGAAGAAGCCATGTTTTAGGAAGGGCCCCCCTGGGTCGCAGAGAGCCCCAAGTCTCTGCAGTCATGGGGTTCAGAAGTGATTGTGTCTCTCCCTTGGTCACTCCAAGGAGCCAGCAGAAACTGTGCTGACTTTCTGAAATGTGTCCCAGGCCTCATCAGGGGGTGACCACACAGTCTACTACATTCAAGGTTTTGGGTCCTGCTGCTCCCAACCATGAGATGCCTGCAGATTACACATTCATGGTGAAAACACAATTGAAAAGGTCAAACTGGCAGCTGCTAGAGCCCTTCTCTGCTCATTAATTAAGGGTAGGGAGAGTTGAACAGAGGAATCTGGGTATTCCTTGCCTAGGACCTGGTGGGCAGGCTCTGGAGCTGACTGGAAGACCCAGATGTGCTTCCAGCTACCAGTCTTCTGGCCAATATTCCCATCACTAGGGAGTTCAGAGTATACTGGCGAGTACTTATGGAGGCCTTTAGGCCAGCAAACTTCGTTGTTGAAAAGATACCTCCTCAATGTCATTGCTGTACTACAATGAGGTTAGTTCAAGGTTCTTTTTCTTGTTTTTTTTCCCCATGTGAGTTCAGTTGCTCCAGGATATTTCTGCTTTTACACCTTAGTCAAAAACCTGTTGGAAAAGAGCTGAGGGTATAGCTCAGTGGTTGAGAACTTGCCTGGCATATATGAGGCCCTGGTTCAAACCCCAGGACTGAAAACAAAAAAGTCAGTTGGACATAATTATATGGGTCTATCTCTGGGTTTTCTATTACATCCCCTTAATCTGTGTGTTGCTCTCCCAATGCCTTACTGTTCATGACAACAGTCCTTGTATGAGCCAAAGCATCAGGAAGTGTAATGTCCCCTTCTTGTCCTTCAGCCCAAGGTGGTTCTGTCACAGGGCCTGTGCTTTTCCATATGCATTTCAGAATGATCTTATCTGAATCTTCAAAAGTACTTACTAGGATTTCTGTAAGAACCACATTATACCCTTAGAGCAATTTAGAGAGACTTGGCTTGCCTACACTGAGCCTTCAAATCCATGAACAGAGTGTGTCTCCATTCCCTGGGACCATCTTTTATTTCTTTCATCCTTACTTTTTTTTATTGCCTGCATGTAAGTGAGTGCACCCGTGTCATGCAATGCTGCGGAGGTCAGAAGAGGGCTTCAGATTCCCCTGGAACTGGAGTTAAGGACGGTTCACAGCCGCTGTATGGGTGCCGGGAATCGAACCGGGGTCCTCTGCAAGAGCAGTTAGTGCTCTTAACTGCTGAGCCATCTCTCCAGTCCCCATCCTTACT